GCAACCCTTCATGCAACAACAGTTATTTAAAATGAAACAGCACAGCTTTTATGACATTACTGGACTCAGGGCTGCAAATCTGCTGGCCGCAGCATCACCTCCAAAGATTACATTGCCTTTAAATGCTAATCCCACCCATGGATAACAATGCTCTCTGACTGAAGAGATCGTTCTAGTGGGTGTGTGGGTGATTTGTCACATGAGATACAACAGGCATGAGCAAACTTTGGCCTTCCAGGTGTTTTGGACTTCAACTCCAAAACACCTGAAGTCCAAAACACCTGACTTCAACTCCAAAACACCTGAAGTCCAAAACACCTGAAAGGCCAAAGTTTGCTCATGCCTGAGATACAAGGTCAGACTCTGAATCCACAACATTTCATCCCGGCAGGAAATACAAAGGACCTGAGTATTGCTAAACCAATACTAGGATCCCATAACAAGACCTTTGGCCCTTTAGGTCAGTAGTCCTCCACCAGATATTGCAAGGCTCTCAGAAGTTACGGCCAAATTGGCAATACAGACAGTCCCCAAGATACGACTTAGATATGACTCATAGTAAAGAACAGGACTGAGACAACACGAAGCGAGAGAAATTGAACCCTTGGAAGGGAAGTTCACTCTTGGAAGAGATATTATCACGGGGAAAAGCAGTCTCAGGTGAAGCTTTATCACCAATCCTTGTTTCCACGAGCTAAATTTTTCAAAATCCAATTCTCACAGGGACAGAAAGAGAGGTGAAATCTCTTGAACAGGGATACAGACACCAAAACAAACACCACTGGGGTGTTAACCCTTCCCTATGCTATCCAAAGCATGCTCTCCCTCCCTCCTCCTCTCTCTATATATATTTGACTGGAGATAAACTTATAATATGTCCTTGTTCTAACATACATATTCAGCTAAAGAACAAACCTACAAAACCGATCTTGTCTGCAACCCGGGGACTGCCTGTAGTGTGAGATAATTGGAGTTGGAGTCCAACAATGTGTATCTCCTTTTCTTCAAGGATTTGCAGAAAACCATGGATTGCAGGCTGCATCAAAAAGAGTTAGGGTCTAGATCAAGGGAAGTCATGGTGCCTCTCTAGTCTGCTTTGGTGAGACCTCTTAACCTGGCATACTTTGTCCAATTCTGGGCACCACAGTTCAAAAGAGATATTGACAAGCTGGAAAGTGTCCAGAGGAGAGTAACTAAAATGATCAAAGGTCTGCCTTTGCTCTCCACTGTGTTTATGTTTATTATTATCTTTATTTATACCCTGCTTTTGCTCTCCATGGTGTTTATATTTATTATTATGTTTATTTATAATCTTCTTTTGCTCTCCACTTTGTTTATGTTTATTATGTTTATTTATACCCTGCTTTTGCTCTCCACTATGTTAATATTTATTATTATGTTTATTTATAATATTATTAATATATATTATTATATTGTATTATTATTATACTATATTACAATATTATTGATGTCATATGTATATATAATAGTTGGTTTTAATTCAAATACAATATTATTAATATATATTATTATATTGTATTACTACTAGTATTATACTGCATTACATGATAATATTATTGATGTTATATGTATGTATAATCGTTGGTTTTAATTCAAATACAATATTATTAATATATATTATTATATTGTATTACTATTAGTATTATACTGTATTACATTATAATATTATTGATGTTATATTGTATATATAATCATTGGTTTTAATTCAAATACAATATTATTAATATATATTATTATATTGTATTATTATTAGTATTATACTGTATTACATTATAATATTATTGATGTTATATGTATGTCTAATCCTTGGTTTTGATTCAAATACAATATTATAAATATATATTATTATATTGTATTATTATTAGTATTATACTATATTACAGTATAATATTATTGATGATATATGTATGTATAATAGTTGGTTTTAATTCAAATACAATATCATTAATATATATTATTATATTGTATTATTATTAGTATGATACTGCATTACATTATAATATTATTGATGTTATATGTATGTATAATCGTTGGTTTTAATTCAAATACAATATTATTAATATATATTATTATATTGTATTATTAGTATTATACTATATTACAGTACAATACTATTAATATATATTATCATATTGTATTATTATTAGTATTATACTGTATTACATTATAATATTATTGATGTTATATGTATATATAATCGTTAGTTTTAATTCAAATACAATATTATTAATGTATATTATTATATGGTATTATTATTAGTATCATATTGCATTACATTATAATATTATTGATGTGATATGTATATATAATCGTTGGTTTTAACTCAAATACAATATTATTAATATATATCACTATATTGTATTATTAGTATTATACTAGATTACATTACAATACTATTAATATATATTATTATATTGTATTATTAGTATTATACTGTATTACATTATAATATTATTGATGTTATATGTATGTATAATCGTTGGTTTTAATTCAAATACAATATTATTAATGTATATTATTATATAGTATTATTATTAGTATCATATTGCATTACATTATAATATTATTGATGTTATACGTATGTGTAATCGTTGGTTTTAATTCAAATACAATATTATAAATATATATTATTATATTGTGAAGACCTGGCTGTTTGAGCAGGCGTTCGAATATTTAGTGCAATGATTGGTTAATGAACACTGGAATGGAACAATGGATGACGAATCTGGAACATGTTTTTGATGACGAGACGACAGTGAATGGGTATTGTAGTAACTGTTTATTAATTGTGTAATGTGTTAGGTTGTTAACTGTTTCTATACTGTAGCACTGAATTTTTGCTGTTCGTATTTGTTGTGAACCGCTGTGAATCGCCTTCGGGCTGAGAACAGCGGTATATAAGTAAGGTAAATAAAAATAAATAAGGTAAATATTGATGTTATATGTATATATAATCGTTGGTTTTGATTTAAATACAATATTATTAATATATATTATTATATTGTATTATTATTAGTATTATACTGCATTAAATTATAATATTATTGATGTGATATGTATATATAATCGTTGGCTTTAAGTCAAATAATTCTCATAAAATGCATGCTTCAATTCCAATACTCTCCCCTTTTCAGGCTCTCCTCCCTGTCCTTCAAGGAGACCCCTTTACTCCTATTGGCTACTCTAGTTCCCGCCTTTGCCATTCTCCCCCTTTCATTGGTCAATGGAGAGACCTCTCCCTCCCCCATTGGAGGTTCGCCTGAGAAGCCCCGCCCCTTCATCAGTTGGCCCCGCCCTCCAAAAAACCCCTTTTCTGTCAATGAGAACCCCTATTTTCCTATTGGCTACTTTAGTTCCCCCTTAGCCAATCGCTGCCTCGCATTAGATAACGCAGAACCCGCCCTCCGCTTCTCATTGGCCAGGGAAGTTAGAGGCCCCGCCCCTTTTCGGTTTGCCCCGCCCCTACCGAGGCCCCGCCCCTTTTCTCCTCAGGGAGCGAGGCCACGCCCCCTCCGCTACCTTTGAAGTAATCGTTCGCCTGAGTCTTGAGGGATTCGGCCCGCTCCATTGTCCCCGGCTCCCCTTCCTGAGGCGGCCGCCCGGAGCTGCTCCCTCCTGCACCGGCGCCGCTCTCCGCCCTCTCTCCCTCCGCCATCGCCGCCGGGCCGTAAAACGAACCGTCGCGACGAAAAGCCGTCAAGCGCGGACGTCGCAAACCACAATCTGGTGGAGAGCAGGGGGCGGAGCCAGAGATGACGTCACACAGACGTATTACGCATGCGCAGAAGCAACCCCGGGAGGACTCCTAGCCGGCAAACCACAATCTGGTGGAGAGGAGGGGGCGGAGCCAGAGATGACGCCACACAGACGTGTTACGCATGCGCAGAAGCAACCCCGGGAGGACTCCTAGCCCTGGTTTCCATCCCTAGCTTAGGAGGCGGGGCCCGAATTGATACGTCATCGCCTCCTTCGGGGGCGGAGCCAGAGGGAAGCCTGGTACGTCATTGGACAGAATAAGTGCCCTAAGATGCTATGATTGGCTGTTTGGTGATTGGACAGCGCCGAGCTGGAAGGCGATTGGTGCGCGTCTATTTGCAGCTGGACGTGACGTCAGTGTTTCTAGGCAAGATTCCCAAAGCTTTTGAGTTTTTTTTATTTTATGAATTGGTTTATATCTTTGCTTTATCTTTCCATACAGAGAGTGGATCACAATTA